GGTTCGGGTTTCCCTAGATGTGTAGCAGCATGACCTTCAGTTGATGACCATATGTATTTACGTGACCTGTTTGACCTCTAGCTGAGCATCATCCCTACCTCTTGCCTCTTCCCAGCTCACCCTTTGGCAGTGAGAAACCCCTCCTCTTACTGCGATGATATGGAAAGAAAAATGAAGTGGAACTTCTAGAAGCCCATGAGCTTTATTCAAACAAGATTCGTTCTCTTACCTCCAAGTGCTGTCAGAGGCCTGAATCAGGGTGGACAGTAGGTCTTGGAAACCACCATTTTCTGTTTTATGACCAGCTCCCTTTGTAGGGCCTCCTGGGAGGCAAAATGCAAGAAGAAAAGATTAACCTGGAGGAGGAAGAGGCAGGTGGATCGAGGAACTGAGGGAGAGGTCACATGCCACTTACTTTGAGTACTCAGAAGCTGGATGATTTCCTGGAGAGAAAGAAAAAGATGTTCAGAAAGTCTAGTCCCCTAAATCCTGGGACACAGAACCAAGCCTGGTTGCTTGTGCGGAGCAGACCCTTCTGCCTTGACTCCAACAGGTCCCTCTAGGCCCTGTCTATGCTCAGTACTCCTTGCCATCCAGAAGAAAGGTGCCCCTCCATCCCAGCCTGCTGTTACTGTGGATTTCCAGAATGTCAGAGCTTAGATACCATCTAATGCAACCCTTTCCACATGAGGATATTCTTACCTTATCAGAACTGCAACTCATAACTGGGGAGAGAAGAAATAAACAAAAACAATGATAATGGACCAAAGAATCAAGCACGTCAGGAGGCAGTGGGTTGATTCCTCCTGGGATCTCTTCTGAGGTCCAGTAGGGTAGGGAAGGGTTCCTTTCTTAGTGGAGGTGGCGTGGAGAGTCACTGTGCCCTTTCTCCACCTACTGGGTGGAGGTTTTCAAGCAGAAGCTTAGAAGAGAGGAGTGGAGTGGATGTGGGGGTATAGGGTCAGAACATGAAGGCTACTCACTTGTTTGTGACTGGCATCATTCTTAATTGTGGGCTGTGCTTCTTCTGCCTTTGTCTGAGTACCTGAGAGGTGGAGGATGAGTGATGCAGAAGCCATGGAGGTGAGGGGGCAGGAGAATGACATGGGGAGGCTCTGCTCTTACTACGGTTGTCTGGGTGGCTTTCTTGGTGGGACAGTCCTGTGGTGGAAGGCCCCCGGACTAGTAAGACAGGTGGTCGCAGGATCCCTCTGGATGCCTGAGGAGAGGATGCTGGGCTGGAACACTCGAGCTGGTCCCTGCCACCTGAAAGAGCAAGTGGAGGATGCTGTAAACCATTGCTTAGACCTCTTAGAAAGAATGCTCCTGGTGATGGCGAAAAAGAACAGTGATCGTGTTTGTTATGGACTGAATGGATGTCCCCTAAAATTTGATGTTAAATCTAATTCCCAATGGGATGGGTTCAGGAGTGAGCCTTGAGAAGTGATTAATTAGGTCAGGCAGAGCCCTCGAATGGATTGTGCTTTAAAGAAGAGAGGCTTATATGGAGACTTGTTCCTCTCTCTGCTCTCTGCCATGTAAGCATGCACTGAGAGAAAGGCCGTCGCACAACGGAATGAGTCCATCAGACACCAGAGCTGCTGAGACTTGATCTTGACTTCCAGCCTCTGGAATTGTGAGGATCAATTTCTTTGTTTAAGCGTCCAGACTCTATGGGAATTTAATATAGCAGGCCAAAGAGACTAGACAAATGCTTTGGGTTCACGAAAGCAAAGTAACCCATGCAAGCCTTCAAGCCACAAGGCTGCTCACTGCTCCTGCCATCCTTGTCTGGCTGGCAGGAGGTCTCCTCAGGCTGGCAAAAATGGGAGCTGCACTATCTTAGTTTTTCTCTCCAAGAATCTCTCTGATCTATCTTGTTTGGTCTCAGCCACTTACACAGCTGCAATGGTGTAGAAAAGGGACTGTCCGAGTTGAGGGTAAGGGATCTGGGTTCAGATCCTGCCTTTTCTAATCTCAGTCTCCTGTTTGGAACAGGTGATTCCTGAGGTTCTTTTACACTAGGATGGCTTCCTTCCTCTTGGTAAGAGCTGGAAAATCACTGAGGTCTTGTGTGAAGGTAGAGTAGGGAGTTGCCATGCAGAGTAGCATTCACTCAGTGTCAGGCAAGAGAGGAGAGGAGCGAGTTGTACAGGAGTGTGGTATGCAGTGTCTGAGGGGGACAAATTCATACTAACCTTTGCAAATTTTCTCTGCATGTTTCCATTCCTCATATTTCATTTATCTCTAATCTTATTTCACAGTGGTTGCGCTAATAGTCCTCTGACATATTTGGTCTGGTTGTTTAACCTCTGTATTAGGATTTTTCAGTTCCTTAAGTGTGTAAAAGTTAATTTTTTTTTTTTTTTGACGCACCACGAAAGTACTCTAAACTTTGTTTGGCCCAGGTTAGATTGTAAATGCCGTCGGCAATCAGCCAATAGACGCACAGACAAACCTCAAACTCCTGGGCTCAAATCGAATGTCTCTGCCTCCATGCAAGCCTCCCAAGTAGCTGCGGATCTAACATCGGGCAGTATCGCCAGCAATGTCTGGCTTACTATATAAAATTAAAATGTAGGGATATATCAGTAGTAGTGACGTGTTAGTTATGTAGAGTGATCACTTTTATGGTTGTCAAATCTGTTAATTCTTTTTCTTTTTTTCTTTCTGTTACGAAGCTCAACAAAATTCTGGATGTTGGGTCTTGCTCTGAACATAAACACTTGAGGAAGGACGTTAAGGGGGATATTAATGATCTAAGACTCATACTTGACCATACATACTTTGTCGAGCAAATCATTGCCTCGATTGTCTCGGAGTCTCACCACCAAGAGACCAGTGCATTAACAGATTATCTCTCTCTTTTTCTCTTGCTTTATGCTTCGGTGGCGTCAAACTGCTTGTGGTTCCCCCGAACAGACTCGTCTAGGGGTTTCCACATGGGGATTCTGAGGAACCCTGGGAATTCCCAAGACTCTTTCAAGGGATCTACAAGGTCCTTACTTTTCCAACTACACATCTATGTGAGACTGAAGTTTCTCTGTGTGCTTCAACCAAAAAAATGTACGGCAGCAAATTGAACGCAGAAGCAAATATGAGAATCAGGCTGTCTTTTGTTCAGCCAGACACTAAAAAGATTTGCAAAAGCGTAAAGCTGATGTTTATCTCACTATTATTTTTTGTTTCTGAAAATAGGGTAATTTTTCATAAGAATGTTAATTTAGGTTAGCATGTAATGGTTGACTATTGTTATTTTTTTTATTTTGAAATTATTTTATTTTTTTATTTTTTATTTTTTTCAAACCCAAAATAATTAGTTTTAATTAAACTGACTTCATGAAATTATTTTAGAGACAGTCTTGCTCTGTTGTCCAGGCTGGAGTGCAGTATAGCTCACTGCAAGTTTGAACTCCAGGGCTCAAGCGATCCTCTCCCCTCCGCCTCCCAAGTAGCTAGGACTACAGGGTCATGCCTGTACTCCTAACTTTTTAAGTTTTTTGTAGAGATGATGTCTCGATATTACCCAGGCTGGTCTCCCAGCTCCTGGCCTCAAGTGATCCTCATACTTTGGCCTCCCAAAGTGCTGGGATTATAGGTGTGGGCCACCATGCTCAGCCTATTGTTATTTTATAATTAATAAATATTTCTAAATTTATTTTTTAATTTCTTTTTTTTTTTTTTTTTTTGAGACAGAGTCTCGCTTTGTTGCCCAGGCTAAAGTGAGTGCTGTGGCATCAGCCTAGCTCATAGCAACCTCAAACTCCTGGGCTCAAGCAATCCTCTCGCCTCAGCCTCCCAAGTAGCTGGGATTACAGGCATGCATGCCTGGCTAATTTTTTCTATATATATTAGTTGGCCAATTAATTTCTTTCTATTTATAGTACAGACAGGGTCTCATTCTTGCTCAGGCTGGTTTCGAACTCCTGACCTCGAGCAATCCACCCACCTCGGCCTCCCAGAGTGCTAGGATTACAGGCGTGAGCCACTGCACCTGGCCTGTTTTAATTTCTAATATGGTAAGTATGATTTCTTAGGTATTTTCAATAATTAAAATAGTATAAAGGAGTCCTGAAATAAAAAAGTTAGAGAACCATTGCATTAGACTACGTCATGCTTCTAGAATAGATCTTTGCCTGTACTGTGTCTCCCACCTAGAATACTATTCCTGCTCCCACATTGCCCTGGCAAATGCTTATATAACTATAAATATTCCTCTGGCTCTCCTCGTCTCTAGAGCCACTCATTCCTTCTTATATTTTACTATATCCTGAAAAGATTTATTTTCCATATCTTTGCATTTTTTTACGCATCTGTCTCCCTTAGAAAATCATGAGCTCTCTAAAAGCAGGAACTCTGTCTAAATAGTCTCATTACTTTCAGTGCTAGGCCAGTGCTTGGTACAGGAACATAGTCTATGAATATTTGTAGAATGAATGGATTAAAATCAAAGGCCTGACCAGTTCTGCCACCAACCAGCTGTGTGACTTTGGGCAAGTTACTTGACCTCTCTGAGACTATTTCCTCTTGGACAAAATGAAAGGATCAGAGTAGATCATCTATAAGGTCCCTTCCCACTCTGAAATTCATGTTTGGGCAGACTAATGGGTGTGTGCTGGCATGGATGAATATTGGTGTGAATCCCATACGAAAATAGTTGAAATTTACCATATTTGGTAATATAAACTATTATATATTAGGATTTTCCTTGTTTCCTTCCAACAAATTAAAAAATGGAAATTCTTGCCACTTTTGGTTCTGGGTCTTCCCTAGATGTGTAGCAGCATGACCTTCAGTTGATGACCTATATATTTATCGTGACCTGTTTGACCTCTAGGGCTGAGCATCATACCCCATACCCCTACCTCTTGCCTCTTCCCAGCTTACCCTTCGGCAGTGAGAAAACCCCTCCTCTTACTGCGATGATATGGAAAGAAAAATGAAGTGGGAACTTCTAGAAGCCCATGAGCTTTATTCAAACAAAGATTTCGTTCTCTTACCTTCCAAGTGCTGTCAGAGGCCTGAATCAGGGTGGACAGTAGGTCTTGGAGAACCACCATTTTCTGTTTTAGGACCAGCTCCCTTTGTAGGGCCTCCTGGGAGGCAAAATGCAAGAAGAAAAGATTAACCTGGAGGAGGAAGAGGCAGGTGGATCGAGGAACTGAGGGGAGAGGTCACATGCCACTTACTTTGAGGTACTCAGAAAGCTGGATGATTTCCTGGAGAGAAAGAAAAAGATGTTCAGAAAGACTCTAGGTCCCCTGAAGCCCTGGGACACAGAACCAGAGCCTGGGTTGGCTTGTGCGGAGCAGACCCCTTCTGCCTTGACTCCGACAGGGTCCCTCTAGGCCTGTGTCTATGCTCAGTACTCCCTTGCCATCCAGGAAGAAGGTGCCCCTCCATCCCAGCCTGCGCTTACTGTGGATTTCCAGAATGTCAGAGCTTAGATACCATCTAATGCAACCCTTTCCACATGAGGATATTCTTACCTTATCCAGAACTGCAACTCCATAACTGGGGAGAGAAGAAATAAACAAAAACAATGATAATGGACCAAAGAATCAAGCAAGTCAGGAGGCAGTGGGTTGATTCCTCCTGGGATCTCTTCTGAGGGCCAGTAGGGTAGGGAAGGGTTTCCTCTTCCTTAGTGGAGGTGGACGTGGAGAGTCACTGCGCCCTCTCTCCACCTACTGGGTGGAGGTTTTCAAGCAGAAGCTTAGAAGAGAGGAGTGGATGGGATGTGGGGGGTATAGGGTCAGGAACATGAAGGCTACTCACTTGGTTTGTTGACTGGCATCATTCTTAATTGTGGGCTGTGCTTCTTCTGCCTTCGTCTGAGTACCTGAGAGGTGGAGGATGAGGTGATGCAGAAGCCATGGGGAGGAGGTGAGGGGAGCAGGAAGGGACGTTGAGTGGGGGAGGCTCTGCTCTTACTACGGTGGTGTCTGGGTGGCTTCTTGGTGGGACAGTCCTGTGGTGGAAGGCCCCCGGACTGTAAGGACAGGTGGTCAGCAGGATCCCTCTGGATGCCTGAGGGAGGAGGATGCTGGGCTGGAACAACCTCAGAGCTGGTCCCTGCCACCTGAAAGGCAAGTGGAGGATGCTGGAAACCATTGCTTAGAACCTCTTAGAAGATGCTCCTGGTGATGGCGGAAAAATGAACCAGTGATCGTGTTTGTTATGGACTGAATGTGTCCCCCTAAAATTTGTATGTTAAAATCCTAACTCCCAATGGGATGGGTTCAGGAGGTGGAGCCTTTGAGAAGTGATTAATTAGGTCAGATGGCAGAGCCCTCGTGAATGGGATTGGTGCCTTTATAAGAAGAGAGGCTTATATGGAGAGCTTGCTTCCTCTCTCTGCTCTCTGCCATGTAAGCATGCACTGAGAGAAAGGCCGTCTGCACACCAGGAAGTGAGTCCCCATCAGACACCAGAGCTGCTGGAGACTTGATCTTTGACTTCCAGCCTCTGGAATTGTGAGGAATCAATTTCTGTTGTTTAAGCCGTCCAGTCTATGGGAATTTTATATAGCAGGCCAAACAGACGAAGACAATGCTTTGGGTTCACGAAAGCAAAGTAACCCATGCAAGCCTTCAAAGCCACAAGGCTGCTCCTGCTCCTGCCATCCTTGTCCTGGCTGGCAGGAAGGGTTCTCCTCAGGCTGGGCAAATGGGGAGCTGCACTTATCTCTAGTTTTTCTCTCAAGAATCTCTGATCTATCTTGTTTGGTCTCAGCCACTTACACAGCTGGCATGGTGGTATAGAAAGGGAACTGGTCCGAGTTGAGGGTAAGGGGATCTGGGTTCAGATCCTGCCTTTTCTAAGTCTCAGTCTCCTGTTTGGAACAGGTGATTCCTGAGGTCTCTTTTACATTCTAGGGATGGCTTCCTTCCTCTTGGTAAGAGCTGGAAAATCACTGAGGTCTTGTGTGAAGGTAGAGTAGGGAGTTGCCATGCAAGTAGCATTCACTCAGTGTCAGGCAGGAGGGAGAGAGGAGCAGGGGATTCGTACCCAGAGGGTGTGGTATGCAGTGTCTGAGGGTGGACACATTCATAGCTATGACTTGAGTGGTGCAAAGCCAATATCTGTAACCTCAATGTTTGTACCCCCATAACATTTTGAAATTAAAAAAAGGTCCAGATATTCATACAAAAAAAAATAAGGAGTTATCAGGAGGGGTGTAGTAGTGGTGATCACAATTTAATCTGCTCTTTTTATATTTTCTTCTTACAAACTCAAAAATTCTGTGTTGGTAACATAACACTGAAAGGCTAAGAAATACCTGTGATATCCAATCATGTGGACTGACTCAGTCTCAATAAGATCTTACATAACTGATAGGCGGGAGTGGAGTTCTTTAGTTAGCTGTGTATCCTGTTCCTTTTCTCCTGAACCACACCCCCCGCCCCCAAAAAGCATACAGAAACCTTTTTGTCTTAGAAAGTACAGAGTTGGTTTTCTTTTGCAAATGAGCTTTAGGATCATTTCTCTGAATAGCACTTCCTATTCAGCACAACAGATCCACTAGGTAGGAAGCCCGATGGAGCTCCCACTCTGGGTACAGGCACAATGCCAGGCATTTCCAGGAAATACAGGAGACCCAACCCTGCTCCCAACATGGGTAGGAAGACACAGATGGTTTTCTGCTTGAGGTCATCTCAGCATACCCTGATTTTTGCCAACACCATTCCTTCCCAGGCCAGACTAATGGGCCCTGTAAGAGTTATACAATCTTAGAGGATTTATAATCTCTCAAGACCCACTGAGAGCAGAGGTGTCCTGGAGAAGCCAGAGAAGGCTTCCTGGGCCAGATGAGGCCATGGCTGAGTGGATTTAGTAGAATTGGAGTGGTGCAAGAGAAAGGGAAAAGGGGGGGGCGGGGGAAAAAAAAAAGAGAGAAAGGGAAAAGATGAGCGAGTGCAGCAGCTCGGCAGAAGGACAGAGGACAGATGTATGTGTGTGCGTGTTGGGAAAGGGGCATCAGGAGGATTAGCCCGTGTACCCAGCATATAATAAGCGTTCAGTAAATACCTGATGACTGATAGGTGAATGGATGCTGTAAGATAGTTGCTGAAGATTTGTATAGATTGCCCAAATTTGAACTGATACTAGGTATTAACTTTGGAATTGTTTTAAAATTATTTTTTCTCTTCTAAAAGGCAAGTGCAGAACAAAAGAAAGAGCTAAACAAAAAAGCAAAAGCACAACAACAAAAATGTCTAAATAAGTGGCTAAAGGAGACTCTACTATATGACTGAAAAAGGAAAGGACTTAATTTAAATCGCTTTTTAGTGAACTCGAGCCCACCCACCCTCCTTGGAACTGCCCTTTCCCCTGCACACAGCAGTGTGTTCCTCGACATGACCCACCTGCTGCCTGGGGGAAGGGACCCTGCTGGCACAGGACAAGCGCTCCTTGAGGGCAGTCTCCTGGCCCGACCTCCTGGAGGGCCCTCGCTCCTTGGCCTGGGGTTGCCGTGCCTTGTCCTTCTCCAGCTCCAGGTTCCTCCTCCTGAGGAACTGCTGCAGTCGAGCTCCCTTGACCTGCTCTCTCTGCTGGATCCTCAGCGCCTTCCCCACCTGGCGGCAAGTGGTCACGTTGGGGCGGCAGAGGCGGCTTTCACGGGTCTCCTGCCGGCGCTCACACTTGGCCTCGTAGCTCTCGGCCCACCAGGCCAAGCCAGGGGAGGGCCTGGAGTCTGGGCTGATCATGATGACCTCCCAAGCACCTGTCGTGCTTGGCTTCCAGTTCCTGGAATAGCTGCCTGGGTCTGCCAAATGCCAAGAGGGAGGGGAAGGGGAGGGGTCAGAAGATGGGCAGAAAATGACTGTCTCCCAGGGGGGCGGAAATAGCATGCAGTTCCTTCCATCCATGTGGGTTGGAAAGTGCGACATGATGGTGTCAGTCTGGCAGTCAGGACCGCAGGGTTCAGTCTTCTAATGAACTAATTACAATTTAACAGAAGTGAATTCTTGCTTTTCCCTAGCTTGTGGACACCCCTCTGTAAAATGGAAGGGTCTCTCTGGCTGCCACTTCTGCCTTGACTGAACATCTCACCATGCCTCTAAGTCAGGGGAACGTGAGAAATAATTGACAAAAACCAAAATGAGCTGATAGCCTCTTGGGTGGCAGGTGTGTGTTCCTTTTCCAGACTTCTAGAGAAAAAGTTAAATTGATCCCCTCTCCTCTCTTATCCCCTGATCTAAAAGGAAAGTCAGCATCTTTTACTGTAACAAAGCCCAAGTTGTTACTAAAATAGCTGAGTGACACTTCCTAAGACCTAGAGGGATAACTAGACCCCCCTTATGATGTGACCAGCATCCACTGCTCTCTTTTTGGCCCTTAGCCACTAGCTGTGAGCCTGGACATGGCATGGTTTAGGAGGGAAACCCCACCCTAATTCCTCCGTCATGAGGTTCTGACATTGGTCCATTGGCCCCTCACTCCCAAGCCCAGAACTGGGCTCTGCCTCCCAGGTGCAGATCAAGTCCAATCAGTATTGGCCAAACACCTGCCACCTGCCCAGTGCTGGCCAAAACCCATTTCAGAGCGTCTGGCTCAGTAACTCTTGGAGCTGAGGGTTCCATCATTTAGGATCAGGGCTAAGTCTGGTGCTAAGTCTGTTTTCCTTAGCCCAGAGGCAGATCCTGCCATCCAAACCAGAAAGCACATGAATTATACCTCAATAAGGCTACTGCAAACAGAAAAGAGACAAAACAAACAAAAATAGTAAACAACAGGACACCCCTCTGCATGGCCTTATCCTGTGTTCACATAGCACCCAAACCCTAATCCCTCCTTCCTTCTCTGTGCCTTTCCTCTTTTCTCTTTCCTACTTTTCCCCACCTACCTTCTGCGAATTTGCTTATTTTCCTAGAGCCCCCTGGTAAGTTTGCTGAGTTGAGGCTGGACTTGGAGGAGCTGGATCCTGAGCATTGGAAATTCGGTGCCCTGCCTCCTCTGATCACTGGAGTCAAACCAGGGACTGCTGAAGGAAGAGGGACTCTCCTTGCAGCTGCTGCTGCTTCTCTCCCTCCCACGACCCACCACCCTGGGAGCCTGAGTTCCTGGGGAGGTCAGGGAAGGGTACTTGCAGCTTCACCAACCAGCAGGCACTTGCCAGCTCTAACCCCTGGGGGTTTATTTATAGGCCAAACAGACTCAACAGGTAGCAGCCTCTCTGCCCCTTTCCTGGGACTTGGCTGCCTACCCTGGCTGAGTCCAGAATTCTCTGCAGGATTCTTGTTTTCTCTCTGATCCTGCCACTCATTCCCTGGGGTCATGAGTAGGGCAGTCTCCCTCTCTGAGGGGGGACTTATGTGGTCAAGCCCTGGACACTCCCAAATGCCTGACTCTTGAGGGCTGGAGGAACATACTCTGGTCTGGGGCAGTGCTGACTCCAAACAGAATTGTGAGTTGTTAATGTTCTTCCTCTGCATACCATCTATGAATGGCTCTTTCCTTTCTTTAGGCTTTTCTCCTCACTCCTACTCCTTGGGTAGGGGTGGTCCCTTGACTTCCCACCTGGCACTTCGTTTATTTAAAAACTTAGAAAAGGATCCGAGAGACCCATTCATATTAGGTTATAAAAGACTAAATGAAGGAGACTCAGGATTATGTGCACGTAAACTCCCAATGCAGAACCTACACCTGTGGCATCCCTAAGCCATAGCCCCTTCTTCTGCCGTAGATAGTGGAGGAGAGCCCTGGCTTGGAGTCACTGTGGATTCATACCCTGGCTCTGTCACCTACCACCTGTGTGTGTTTTTAGACAGGCTATTAAACATCTCTAAGCCCCAGAGTCCTCATTTATGTAATGGGGCTAGAACCTGCCTTGTTGGTCATGAGGAATACATGACAAAATGCATGTCACACACCTGGCATAGAACACCCAACGAATGTTAGCTTTTTATAATAAAATTATTATTATTATTATTATTACCCTTGTCATGCTGATGTTAGATGTTGAAGACCTATCACTGTAAGACAATGGCCCCAAGTGAAGCCAGCGCCCGCAGGACCAAGAACCCTTTATCTCATCCTCTAATTCCTTCAACCATCTCGCTCTTTGAGGGCGTATATTGTTTACCAGATTGAGGGGAGTCTGGCCCCAGGTTAAAATCATATTTCCTGCTCTGGTTCATCTGACCTCTGGGTTTGGACTGCAAGGAGAAAGGACTTCTCTGTGGTCTGGACATAGTCACCAACCCTATTAGGCCAGGCAGAAAGGCAAACAAGTCCTTTGGTGGGGCCTGCCTGCATTGCACTGTTAAAATGTGGGGTGCAAGCTCCCCTCCCTGCCTGGCTCCAGGTTACCTGCTGGCTCTGTAGTGGAGGCAGATGCCCCCAGTTGCTGAGAATCCTCCTCCCTCCCTGCTGTGAAGAGGAAAGGGTTTGGGGATGCAGTCTCTCTGGCTCCCCCGCTAGGCCATTCAACCTTGGTCCACTGAGACACACGGCTGCTCTGCTCTCTGCTTCTTCAAGCAGCCTAGGGACTTCTTACCCAAGAGGGGAGCCACAGTAGAAATGGCTCCTTAGAGTGGGGAGTGTCCCCACAGCCCCAGGCTACCACATCTGCTAGGATTTGCTGTGGCACAGCCGAGAGGAACCGTACCCAGGTCACTGGGATGTCACGGCCGTATGGACTTGCTTACAAACAAGAAGCCGTGTGGGATGGCTGACCGATGGAGACAGGCTGTAGAGGAAAAGGGAACTGGTTTCTGCAGGGTTCAGAGAAAGATCACTGGGCCACTGCCTAGGCCTGCTGGCATCTCTGGGGCTCCCCCGGCATGGCCGGGCTCTGTTGGAGCTCGGAGGAAGAGCTACTGGCGAGGCTGTCATCACGGCTGCAGAGAGGGACCAGGGCACTGCCCCGCACCTGCCTGTGGCTTGTCACTGTCTTTCCAAGTTTCTGGTCCTACTTCCTATCAACGTGTGCGGACAGAAATGATGAATGGCTTCCTGCACGGGGCTGGCCTTCCTGGTCCAGAGCTCTCAGTGTGAGCTGAGGAGAGAGGGGCCTGCACCCTTTGTGTGATGGGGATCTCTGCTTTGAAGGGAACTGCAAAAGGTCATTTAATTCATGCCCCTGTCACTGGGTAACCTGAACTTTAAGTCATTCGGCTCACTCCTCATCTCATCTAATCCACAGGATGGAACAGAGGAGTGATGGAAGCCGCACCCCTGTGCCATGGCTAGCACCCCAGGAAACCAGCACAGGACACTCACTGTCTTGGTTACCCGAACCCCCAACACTCTGAAACTACACCACCCGCTCCTCTGCCTCTCTCTTCACCCGGGGAAACTTGGATGATAGAGTGACCCGCCCCAAGGTTGGAGGTCCCAAACCTGGATACAAAAGCATCCTCTTTCTCGGTTACCTCCGGGTCCCAGGCTCCAGCCCAAGCAGCTCAGGAAAGCATCCCAGCTCCTGGGCAGGTCTTGGCTCTGGTCTCAGATGGAGCAAGACAGCAGCCCTGTAACGCATAAGCTCTCAATCCATGGCTGTGGGCCCCATTAGCATTTCCCTTCTTGGTACCGTCTTTCTTTTTGCACACAAGCCTTGCTGAAACAGGAAACAGAGAAAACCACAGTGTTTGAAAACCCCAGTTCCTCTCTCTTGCTCTCTGGCACGATTTGAATGGGCCCCTGCACCCTGAGGCCTCCAGGGCTGGGCTCAGGAGCTCCTCCCATCCGTGGGCACCCCAGACACCCCTTCTCTTGCTCTTGGACTCATCTGAGTGCTTGGACAGCTTCAAGTCAAGATTCCTTTCCAGGATTGGACAAGGATGGGCCTCTGAGTCAGTTTTAAACCTTTGCAGTTTTTATGGGGGGGAGGAATTGCCTTTTGGATGTTACAACCTAGATGAGGTGTCCTCAGTGTAGGTTCTTCATTGTATCAAGTAGCTCTCTGTGTATGGATTCTCCCTTTCCTTTAGTCACCTCTTCCAATCCTGGTGGCATCAAGCAAGGGCTTTTGCTCTTCTGCAGTCCCCGGTGTCTTTCTCAGAATTCCGGAATGAGGCCAGCTCTGGATTTGCTCATTTTTTTTTTTTTTGGAGACAGACTCTCAATCTGTTGCCCGGGCTAGAGTGCCCTGGAGTCAGCCTAGCTCACAGCAACCTCAAACTCCTAGGCTCAAGCGATCCTCCTGCTTCAGCCTCCCGAGTAGCTGGGACTACAGGCATGCGCCACCATGCCCGGCTAATTTTTTCTATATATTTTTAGTTGGCCAATGAATTTCTTTCTTTCTTTCCTCCCTTCCTCCCTTCCTCCCTTCCTTCCTTCCTTTCGTAGAGACGGGGTCTCGCTCTTGCTCCAGCTGGTTTCAAACTCCTGACCTTGATCGATCCTCCCGCATCGGCCTCCCAGAGTGCTAGGATTACAGGCGTGAGCCACCGCTCTGGCCATGGATTTGCTCCTTTCTGAAGCCATTTGGAGAGGGTGAAAAGTGGGTGGCTGGAAGATGAAGGGAGGAGTAGCAGGCAGAGTCTTACAAAAAAAATTTCCCCGGTCGATTGGGCTAAGAAATTTGGGGAAAAACTAAAGGGAACTGATCTGCATGCATTGACCTATTACAGATGATTTAGGCAGGAAATTCCCAAGAAATTCAGGATAAAATAGTGGAAAGGAAACTGGACTGGGACAAGTTAGCTGAGCAGCTTTGTAACTTTGTGCAGTTCACCTTGTCTGGGAGGCCCACTCAGTCTGGTGGCTGGAAGATTTACGTGGCTCCTATGGATTCTAAGAGTTGACATGTGTGAGGCTGGGAATGAGACTTTTAAATAGCTGTGATAAGATAACGTTTACTCACATGTGGGGGATTTGTAATAATCTTCTCTGATGCTGCTACTTCTATTCCCAGAGAAGGAAAAGGACATCCCTCAGGACGAGAGACGATGGCTCAAGGCCCTGCATCTGGATCGCGACACATGGAGATGGGAAGGAATAGAGGACAGAGGGCCTGGGGAGCCCAAATGGCAGAATAAGAGAATTTTATTGGCATCAAAAAGCGAGAAGATTCCAGGAGTTTAGGGTCATAGAGCACAGGAGAGGAAAGGAGATTGTAAGAGGAATTTCTGCGCACAAACTCTTTGGACTCCATTAAAAATCGGAAAGAAATGTGTACAAAGGTCAAAATCCCATTTAGGACTATTTGCTCACTGGGACACTCCACCCATGGTAACTGGGGTTTGGAGAGGTTAGGGATGTGCTTGAGAGATCACACAGCAAGTGCTGGACCCAGGTGTGATTGACATCAGAGCCCGAGCTGAGAACAAAACAATTAATGACGTTGTCATACCTACTTACCTATCTATCAAGAGAAAGAGAGAGTAAGATGAGCACACCCACACAGAACTCTGGGAAGAGAATATACTTTATTTTCAAATGCCCATGAAGCATTAAAAAAAAAAATTGACCATATTTTTTATAAAAAGGCAAACCTTAGCACATTTTTTGAAAAGTTGATCTATTACAGCAGGATTTTCTGATCATAGTACAATAAAATTGAAGTAAATAACAAAAGTGGGAAGAAATAAACACTTCGACTTCTTGGGAAAAAAATCTCCCAGTTTACTTTTAAAATATAGATAGAATCAAATTTGCAATTAAGAATACATTGAGGCTGGGCACAGTGGCTCATGCCTGTAATCTTAGTTCTCTGGGAGGCCGAGGTAGAAGGATTACTCGAAGCCAGGAGTTTGAGACCAGCCTGAGCAAAAGCAAGACCCCGTCTCTACTAAAAACAGAAAAATTAGCCAGGTGTGGTGGCGCATGCCTGTAGTCCCAGCTACTGGGGAGGCTGGGGCAGGAAGATTGCTTGAGCCCAGGAGTTTGAGGTTTCGGTGAGCTATGGCACCATTGTACTCTAGCCGGGGTGACAGAGTGAGACCCTGTCTCAGAAAAACAAAAACCAAAACAAGAATGCATTGAAAACAATGTTAATGTGTATGGCCAAAGAATGAGTCAAGGAAAATTCATAACCTTAAACATTTTCATTACTTAAATAAGGAAGATTGAAAATAAATCATCTCCAACTGCTTGTCTGGGCTATAAAAACAAAATATGGAAAAGATATTTTAAAAATAAAATTAAAAAACCTATTAATTTATTTTCAAACAGATTTCTAAAAAATTGTCAGAAAAACCAAGGAAAGGAGGTGAGAATTTTCAAAAAAGATAGAAGTAAACAATATAATACATTAGAATCCTGAGTAGAATTAATAAATAAATTCAGAAGCTTGTTCTTGCATGTGTACATATGGCGGGGGTGTTTAGAAATATCAACCAAAAACAAAATCAATAAAATAAACTACCAGCTAGCCAGATCAATTTTAAAAAGAGAAAGGCTATCTGTAAAAATTTAGAAATGACACATAGAAAGTAACCATAATACAGTGGAAATTAAAATAAGTTTAGAGCCATTTGTTTTATGCTAATGATTTTGAAAATCTGGATAAAATGGATTTAAGAAAACTCTACCAAATCAGACTCAAATAAGAGATACGCAGTCTAATTGTCAGCCAGTCTCCACCTGAGGACCCTTCCTCTTGTGTGGCTTCCTAAAGGCAGGGTTTGAATCAGGCTGCTCTTAGCTGGGCACCTGGCATTTACTGGCCAGCATTCTGTGCTTTTCCTCCTCCTTTCTAGACTCATTGGGAACTTGGCTCCCTTTGTTGATGGTCTTATCCTGGAACCTCTGGCCAGTCTTCTTGATTGACGCTGGGCCTTGTGT